AAAAAAAAAAAAAAAAAGAAATATCTGAAACTGGGTAATTTATAAAGAAAAGAGGTTTAATTGGCTCAAGGTTCCTAAGGTTGTATAGGAAGCATGGCAAGGGAGGCCGCAGGAAACTTTGATGGCAGAAAGCAAAAGGAAAGCACGCAAGCCTTACATGGCCAGAGCAGGAGGAAGAGAGAGAAGGGGAAGGTGCCACACACTTTTAAACACCAGATCTTGTGAGAACTCTGTCACAAGACAGCACTAGGGAGAGTGTGCTAAACCATTAGAAACCACTCTTGTGATCCAATCACCTCCACCAGGCTGACCTCCAACATCGGGAATTACAATTCAACACGAGATTTGAGTGGGTACATAGAGCCAAACCGTCTCAGTCAGTTAATGTAAATGGCACTACCTTAAAGCTGGAGCATAGTCATTGCTCAACAAGTGATTAGTAATACAGGTCCACGATCCTTTACCCATAATTCAGAAATCAAAAAACTTTGTAGGTTTTTTTTTTTCCTATTTTTTTTGTAAATTTTTCTCAAGCTCATCTGGCTACACATCCCAGTCAGAACCATCCTGAGGCTACTGAATCTTTCTTTCATCCGCTAGGGTGACTATTCATGTGTTTCACTGGAGAAATGTGTTCCGTTAAACGGTGTTGATCAAGACCCCATTAAAGAAGTTACGTAATATGTATTCTTGGCATCCTAGTTCTTTCCTAACCCTCCTCTCCAAATTCCTGAATTCCAAAACATGTCTGGCCCCAGGGGTTTTAGATAAAGGATTGTGAACCTGAATTATGTTATTTCTTTATTCCTCAAAGATTTAATATTTAAAAAATATTTTGACTATTGAAAAGACTGCATTTACCAACTTAATAATTCACATTCTATTTCTCATTAATCAAAGACTTAAATTGTACAAATACAAAGACTTACATTGTACAAAATACATCACTTTTGTACAGCGTGTGCTCCCCAACATCATCACACTGAATTTATTCTACACAAGGCAAAATCAGCCTGCACAATTTCAGTATAACCACAGAAAATGATTCAATTAGGCCTCTGGAAAAAGAAAAATACCCTTTCTTGGATACCAGGTTGTGGGGATTATTCATACCTCAACGGCTAAGATTATAGTGTCCGTATATGTGCATAGCACTTTTTACTTTCCAAGAACTTGATGAAATTTTTATAAACTTCTTGAACCTCACACTGCTATTGTTACATTGTAGCAAAATTAAAACCCAGAGATACTGAGTGGCCTATCTGAAATCTGAAAAGGGACCTTACAAATCATCTAGTACGATTCCTCCAAACGAGGAAATTGAGGCACCCAGCAGGTTAAAAGTAGGGTCAAAACCAGATCTTGGGTTCTCACTGGGCTGCACTGCACTGCTGTCCTCATTGAGAACTTTGTAGTTGTCCAAAAGGGTAAGGCGTGGCCACACCACAGATCATAATGCTCAGGTTGGTGCCAACTGCTAGTGTTTTCTGTGAACTTTGCCAGGTTTGGATAAGATGATTTATACTTCAAATAAAACACAGATTTTGTCAAAGCCAATTTTTCCCCATGTTAATAATTTGCCTAGATTAACTCTAGAGTTACTCCATCCTGCTCAATAAAATGGAACCAACGTAAATCAAACACATATTCTGCTACCCTAGAAGGCTGTCAAGTCTCACAACAAATCCAAGCACAGCCAGCTCATTTCCAACACTCAGCTGGGAAGGGGCGTTTAACAAATCTTAGTGCACTTAGGTTGCATTCATATTTGGCAGGAGCCGAGAGTCACAGGATCATCACCACGTTAGACCTCTGCTCATGGATTTTGGTCCGATGAACCACGTTATTTCTCCCCTGGGAAAGTGGAAAGGATGGCTACATCAAATGAGAACAAGGAAGGCTGTCCCGTTTTTCCAAACAAAGTGGAAGTAATCCACCTCCTGTCCACAGGATTTTTCTTGACTTCAGTCCCTCTCCCTTTTGCTAACAATGTACATCCACAAATACGTCAACATCATATAACTATTCTAATGAATTGACATTTAGCTATTCCACTTTTTCTAAAATTCCAATTCGTACTACTCTCTTGAGCTAAACTTAAAATGCTCTGAAAAAGAAAAATACACACAGACAAATCTCATCTCAATACAGCATCACAAACTTAAATTTAAGACCGTTACCTGAGTTCTTTTTTTAGAGCTAGTAACTCAAATGTCTTCATTATCTTACCACACATTACTTCTTTGCTTATTACTTTTCAATACTTCTCATTTGCTTCTGACTTTTATATCCTCTCACTTTCTGCAATGCATATGAGGCTCTGGCCCTACACCTTTGCTCAGGTTGTCCACCCAGTGTGGATTCTCTCCATCTTTGATTTGCCTTCTCTACATGCTTTGACTCACTCTGTTATTACCAAATTGACACTTTCGGTGTAGCAAAAAGCTTAAGCAAGTTGTTTTTTCCTTCAGTATAAATAGGTTCAAGTGTTTCTTTGAATGAATGTTTAGATGGGTATTCAATGACATTTTACACTCTTAGACAATTTCTCCAATAATTTGGGTTGTGTCTGTGTATATTCTACACTAACATTTAATCTTTGATAATACATTAGTTTTCAGTGTGAGTAATTCTGGTTTAATAGTTTGGAATACCAGGCATATAATGACAGTTATCTTTCAACAGTTAGTATAAAAACCTCTGGTGGTGCTATAAGGTAGAGATTTTAGAAAATAATTCCACACGATATAAGCTTAATTAGTATAACATCTATAAGTAAAATGGTACATATATCACCAGAAGAGCTCAGGAATACAGAGAAATAAGACGAATAGAAGATCGTTTTATTGCACCTTATATGAGGAACAAAGCATATGTCAACAGGAGTGAGAAAAAATAAATAAAAGAATGTGTACATTTTGAGAAAGTAACACCAGTAGGCCTTAGACAAAAATAGCATATTTGCTAAGTAGAATCTTGTATCTACAATGGTGGTTTCTAATCCTCTGTTTGCAATACCTTAAAGCATCTGTTAATATTTCAAAGAGCATTATGAAATTCTTTAAAAAAATCTTTCTCAGAAATGACAAAGGTGACATTACCACCAACCCCACGGAAATACAAAAAACCCTAAGAGACTATTACAAATACCTCTATGCACAAACCTAGAAGAAACGGATAAATTCCTGGAACCATACAACCTCCCAAGATTGAGCCAGGGAGAAATTGAAATCCAGGATAGATTACTGAGTTCCAAAATTGAATCAGTATTAAAAAGCCTTCCAACCTGAAAAGGCCCTGAGCCAGAGAAATTCACAGCCAAATTCAACCTATAAAGAAGAGCTGGTACCGATCCTACTGAAATTATTTCCAAAAAAATTGAGGAGAAGGGTCTCCTCCATAACTCATTCTATGAGGCTAGCATCATTCTAAACCTGGGAGAAACAAAATGGAAAATGAAAACTTCAGGCCAACATCCCTGATGAACATAGATGCAAAAATCCTCAACAAAATACTAGCAAATCAATACAGCTGCACATCAGAAAGCTAATTTGCCATGATCAAGTAGGCTTTATTTCTGAGATGTAAGGTTGGCTTAATATATGCAAATTAATAAATGTGATTAATCACCTAAACAGAACTAAAAACAAAAACTGAACGATCACCTCAATAGATGCAGAAAAGGCTTTTGATATAAAATCAACATCTCTCCATGTTAAAAATCCTCAACAAACTAGGCATTCAAGAAACATAGCTCAAAA